CCCTCACCCATCACTGACTGAGCCCACCCAATGCAAGGACTGGCCCCCACTGTACCCTCACCCATCACTGACTGACACCCCATAATGTAAGGACGGACCCCCACTATACCATCACTGACTGAACCCAACTGTACCCTCACCCATCACTGACTGAGCCCCATAATTACCCAAACCCATTACTGACCTACATTTCTATGATTGACCCCGCCACTATATTATCAACCATCACTGACTGACTCTTTTTCCTCAATCTCCCTGACTGACATCCCCTTCATCCTTCACTGAGTGACCCCGGTCATTTTCATCCCACGCCCCACCACTAACTGACATCCCCACCCTTCACTGGCCCACCGCCATGTCTGGTGACACTCCGGCCTGACTGGCATCTCCGTTTACTAAGTAACCCCCACCATCACCATCTCCCTGACACCCCCATCCTTCATTGAGTGACGCTAGTCATCTTCATCCCCCACCCCAATACTGATTACCCCACCACCATCCTACCAAAGCTTCCTCTCCCGGACATCTGCATCTGCCCCATCCTTCATTGAGTGGCCCCAGTCATCTTCATCTCTCACCCCATCATTGACTGACGCATACACACCCCAGCAATTTTCCTGACACCGTTGCTGATACCCGGACACCCCTCTTACACACCGGGTCCCGGGCCTGACTCCATCCCCTGATTAACGCTGGGACATTCATCTGGTGACCCCAGTTTTCTTACTCATCTGCCCATCATTGACTGATATTGATTCCTCCCAGTGCTGATTGATCCCCATGTTATCCATGAACAGATCAACCTCCAACCCCCATCGCTCCCTACCATCACATTTACTCCTTCTATCTGATACCCGACTCACCCTACTTTGAACCCCCTTCACCCTCCCCCACTGGCATCTCTTCTTACCCCAATGACCGATACCCAGACACTGCACTCACCCACCAAGACTATGGCCTGACTGACAGCCTGAATCATTCGAGGGACCGCACTACACCCTTCTTCTGCATCCTCCCGCTCTTCCATCTCTTCTTACCTGATCCTTTTGCTAACACCCAAACATTCTTCTCAGCCCACTGATCCTTCCGAGCTGACTGACGCTCCTCATCATTTACTGAGCCACAACAATCGCCCTATCCCACTGCCGTCCCTTCTCACCATGTTGGAGCCCCCGGGTCTACTCCACCTGACACCCCCTCATCTCACAAGAAGACCAAAGCCCCCAGCACCACCAACTTTGTATCCTTCCAGGGCATCCTCCTCACCTCGGCCATCACCCAACACATCACTTCCTTGACTGCTCCTCCATCACTCACTACATTGTTAACAACCTGACACCCAGAGATGATGGGGCCTGACTCTTAGGCCAGCAAACCTCTATCTGACCTCCCTCACACATTCACTGACACTTCTTCACCCCATCCTTCCTTTACGGACACCTCAACAACTTCTTACCTTACCTGAGCTCTGAGACCACCAGGCTTGGCATTCTTCATCCCAACTTCCTTCCTCCAGGCCAACCCTGACTGGACCTGACTCTTAGACCATCAAACCTCTATCTGACCTCCCTCACACATTCACTGACACTTCTTCACCCCATCCTTCCTTTACAGACACCTCAACAACTTCTTACCTTACCTGAGCTCTGGTACCACCACGCTTGGCATCTTTCTTCCCAACTCAACCAATAAATCATATGTTATCCCTCAATCTTCCTCCATCCCAACCCTGACTGGTCTCCCTGTTCCTCCCCTCTTCACCTTCTGCTTTGAGCAACCCCCCCCATCCCACAGTCACCACCATCGGTGTCCCACCACCTCACTCCATCTTTATCTGCACTCTTCAACCCTCTCCTCCACCGTATGACCCCCTTGTCCAACCATCCAGCTGACATGCCCTTCTCAACTTGAATGAAACTCAAGCCCGGGGTTTTGTCTGTCTTGGATAGATTGGGGAACAGTTAGAACCTCTCAAGTTTTAATTGCTGTTTGTGTCCCCGTTGGTGAGCTTTACCTGTCGTGTCTAATCCCAGAGGCACAGTAGTGAGTGGTGGCAATCTCACCAAAGGGGGGCGTGGGGATTCTAACCTTTGACAGCATTCACCAGAATAGGGGTCCTGTTGTGAGAGATCCTCATACCCCTTTGTGACGACCGCAAAAATTGTGGTTTTGTTCCCATCACTCTCTGTCAAACAGAACAAATCGAGAGGGTCAATCCCCATTCTTCATTGGTCCTACCATGACACCCAGCTCCTCAATTCATCACCCTCTCTGTATGTGTGTCATGCTTTGATTGCTCCCCTGTAATCCCATGTACTCCCCAGGAGTATAGCGTTGTCTCCTTCCATGTGTATGTCTTTCGTTGTTCTGTGTGTGGTCCTGGATGCTGTATGCATGTCACTAGTTTTATTTTATCTACTTTTATTCAAATTCTAAATGTTTTTTTCTCATAGTAGATGGGTGGAGGGTATTGGTTTTCTGTATATCGCACATTTCTCTACTTCTTCCCACTGAAGGTGCCACGCAAGCACAGAGCATTTCACATGATTATCCCAAAACAAATTCTATTCTGGATACTTTGTTTTTTTTGTCTGGATTAGAATCCAATTCTGAAATGGAACCGGATTCTTTGATTCATCTAAATATGCTTATGGCGGCTTACCCGATCCGCAGAGTATTGAGCTCCGTAGAAATTCTGACCGCTGTGGATTTGTGAATTGTATATATCTTGTATCTGTGGATTAGACTGCACAGCGTTTGTTATTACCAAATTGCAATTCAGTTAGGAATAGGAAGTGTCATATTCATAGATCGGTTTGTACATTTTCTACCTCAGAGTAGAATAGTTAGTCCATGTTTTTCATTCTCCACCCAGGAACCCCCCCCCCCCCCCCCCCCCCCCCCTCCCACCACCCCCTCTCCCACTACCACTACTTCTACCCCCATTACTACCACCACTACCTCCACCATTACCACCCACGTTTCATATGCACATTGTGATGGTAACATACCATCCTTAAACTATACATAAACCCCAACAACCAACTTCTCCTATTTGCTCTCTTTTTGATCTGTAATGGGTCGAGGAGCATACGCCGGGAAGAAGGTGCACATTCCTGCTCCCGGCATTCACGAGAAGGTGCACATTCCTGCTTCCGGCATTCACGAGAAGGTGCACATTCCTGCTTCCGGCATTCACGAGAAGGTGCACATTCCTGCTTCCGGCATTCACGAGAAGGTGCACATTCCTGCTTCCGGCATTCACGAGAAGGTGCACATTCCTGCTTCCGGCATTCACGAGAAGGTGCACATTCCTGCTTCCGGCATTCACGAGAAGGTGCACATTCCTGCTTCCGGCATTCAGGAGAAAGTGCACATTCCTCCTTCCGGCATTCAGGAGAAGGTGCACATTCCTGCTTCCAGCATTCACGAGGAGGTGCACATTCCTGCTTCCAGCATTCACGAGGAGGTGCACATTCCTGCTTCCGGCATTCAGGAGAAAGTGCACATTCCTGCTTCCAGGATTCACGGGAAGGTGCACATTCCTGCTTGCGGCATTCAGGAGAAAGTGCACATTCCTGCTTCCGGCATTCACGGGAAGGTGCACATTCCTGCTTGCGGCATTCACGGGAAGGTGCAAGGTGCACATTCCTGCTTCCGGCATTCACGGGAAGGTGCACATTCCTGCTTCCGGCATTCAGGAGAAGGTGCACATTCCTGCTTCCGGCATTCACGGGAAGGTGCACATTCCTGCTTCCGGCATTCACGGGAAGGTGCACATTCCTGCTTCCGGCATTCCCGAGAAGGCGCACACTCCTGCTTCAGGATATACTGTTAAGTTTTGTTATCTGTTCATTGTTAAAAAAAAAACCTGTTGATCCTGCCAGAAATTCAGAGCTGCCCCGTGCACATTGCAATGATCACCTCTGTTGGACTGTAAAACATTTGCTCCCATATCATGTTTCAGAATAGGAAGTGTTCTGTAGTCCTGAGTAGCAGCAGCTCCTGCTCCATAGATACAGTACAGTGAATGAGCGTTGTCACCCAAGGACAGGAAGTGTGTCACTGGCAGGATCACCAGGTGAAAAGAAAAGTAATGCAGCCACCACATCTGGGGACTGGGAAGCTGCAGTATATGACATTTTCGTCTTGACTTTAGATACTTTTAAAACCAAGGAAGTGCCCGCGTACCTTTGCTGTCGAGCCCTCCGGGGTTATTTACACTTGTTACTGTTATCGTTTTTCTCCATCAATAAGCTATTGTTGGGAAAGGCGCCGTAACAATGATCTATGGCCTACAGGCCCGGCTGCACTTTTATTTCCTTTTCTGAGTGCTAAAATATTTATTTTTCTTTATCTTAAACTGTTTGAACTCAATACTGAGGAGAGAAGTCGTCACGTTCACCAATGTGGGCAATGGTATGTGGACTCCTCTCCATGTAATGGAGTTCAGGTGTCTCCGGTGAAGGTTCTGGTAATACTTCATCATACAAAGACATTGCAGACAATTGCGCTCTTCCAGCCTTGTGGTGACAGTTTGGTGAGGACCCTTTTCTGTTCCACCATGACTGTCCCCTGTGTACAAAGCCAGCTCCATAAAGACATGGTTTTTGTGTGGAGGAACTTGTGTCCTGCGCAGAGCCCTGACCTCAACCCTACTGAACACCTTTTCTGTGCATAGCTATGAAGCCATCTGTAAAGTACATCCATAGGCTCCGATATGACAGTCAAAACAGGACCCAACTCC